AGTGGAAAGAGCACTATTACCCCAACATAAGTACCAGTATTGCAGAATGTGAAGTTGCTCCATTTCCGGAACACAGGATTGCAGAGGGCCCATCTTGCAATCTAGGGTCAGGCATGGCTTGGTCCTGCTCTCAGACAATCTCACACAAGGCCATTTTCTGGGCTACATTTTCTTACCTGTAAAAGGGGGAAGTTGGAATCTTATCTCCAAGGGGTAGATGAGCGCTAGCTCTCGGGGTTTGTTCCTGAGTATCTGGAATTGTCTGAAATAGTTTATGGGGTTCTAACCTTCCACAGCACAACTCCCTGTGTGGATGTGTGGTTGTGATTCCGGCATTCTGTGACTTTAAGATGCTGAGACTCCAGGAGCTGAAGACATGGACATTCTGTGAATCCAGGATTCTAGGATTTGATGAGTTGATGATTCAATGATTCTAAATGGGGCTGCTGGGAAGAGCTGCAACCACCTGCCTTGTTAATGTCAGTGTTCAGTTATTAAAAACATAACAAGAAGCAATGGAGATAGATAGCTCGGGATGCAGGCCCCACCCCATGTGGTGGGGAGGAGGGGCTGGGCTGGCGTTGGAGGGGAATAGAGTGGTCGCATGGACTGTCTCTCTCGCCACAGCAGAACTGGTGCGTGTGCAAGTGTCAGATCTGCCAGTCTCTAAGCTTACGGGGTATGGGGTCATTTCCTCCATCCCCCTGCCTCCATTCCTCTACCATTTCAGATTAAGGCACAGGGAGGAGTGCCCTTTCCTCCCAGCCCCTAAAGTCTCTGGGCCTAAGTGGAGGAAGGAGAGGCCTGTTCACCCTCCTACCCCGGCAGCCCTGGCCTGAGGGGGAAAACAGGACATAAACACTTCCTGGACATGGACACGGAAACACACGAACCCCTGGCTGTGAGGGCCCAAAATACAAAGGACATCTGGCTAGGGCAGGAGCCAGGAGGATGGTGTGGGCATTGGGTAGTGTCCCTGTTACAGGACAGAGAGTAGGGCACCCCAGAGCCCCCCAAGCCTGTCCGTTCTAAATAGGTTCTGCCATCTGCTGGATCAAGACAAAACATACTGTAATGTGTAAGACCTTTCATGGAAAGGAAATTTAATACCATTAAATGTGTGCAATACAGAAAAGGGAAAGAATAAAGTTTCCAAATCAGCACCCAAAGTTACCTTTCCCCTCATGGGTAAATGTCCAGCCAAACAGGCTTGGCCCAAAGCAGGGCCTCTGAGGCCCACAAGCCTGCCACAAGTCTAAAGCACCTTCCTGCAGGGACCCATGTAAAAGGGTTAGAAACAAAAGGGTTAGAAACAGCCAGACAAGTCTGGAAGGAAAAGAGCAAAAGCAAAATCAAGATCAACGCTGCCATATTGACCTCCCCCGGGTCTCTCACTCACGTCTGTTTCATCCAGTCCAAGACCTAAAAGCAAGTGCAACTTCTTCACATGCCTCCCTGCTCCATGTGCCTCCTCCAGGTCTCCTTCTCGCTCTCCATCCTGCTTCCTCCCTTCTTGCAGTCTCCTCTCTAGCTGCTGCTTCTCTCTGCTCAGCTCTACCCTCCCTTGGGTAGAGCAGGGAACCTGGACCTCCCCTTTTCCTGGGGACCACCCTCTTACATCCCATCAATACCCCTTACGTGCAGGCCCAGGGGGAGGACTGCAGGTGCCCTGGGAGGCTGGCTGTGAAGGGCCTAAAGAAGGGAGGTCCCAGGCCAGGGGCCCTAGAGAGCCCATGACTGATGGGTGCTCCCAGAGGCAGGACCCACGGCCCAGCCGGACACAAGGCCAGACTGTCTTTCTAGAGGCTTGCTGCCTCTTGGGTTGTACCCAGGCCAGATGTGGGGGGGGGTGGGGGTGGAAATCCCAGGTCAGAGAGGGAGCATCCAGCCCTGTAAAGAGCCTCTTCTGCCTGGATCCCTCACAGCCTGTACTGCTGCACGAGTCCCGGCCTGGGGAGGGGGAGGGGAGGTGTCCACAGACCAGGTGATGGAGGCTAGGAGCCTGATTCCCAGTTCTGGGTGTTCCTATTACCTGAAGCTCCCCCATTTCTCTTGGGCCACCTGGAGGGCAGGTCTTAGGTTGGGAAGGCAGAGCCCTGGTCTGTCCCTTTTCCATTTTTCTCCTTCCACAGACTGGAAGGCTGGTGGGGTGCCCACTGCTGAGCCCCATCATTCACAATGCTCCATTGTCTTCCACATCCTGTCTTAGCTCTGAGGATGGAGTCCCCAGCAGGGAACCCCTCCCCAGCAGCCCAGCCCGCAGTGTGCCTCCTCAGGATTCTCCTCTCTCTTCACTGGCCAGTCTCTTCTTTCTGCTCTTATATCCCTCCCTCTTAATCTCCTTCCCCTCAGCCCCTCTCCTTAGCCTTGTGAGCCTCCAACCCTGGCAGTCTTTGTGAGTCTTTCTCAAAAAATGGTTCGACTAGGAAGGGCGCTGGGAAATCCAACCCCTTTATTCTTCAGAAAGGCAAAATAGCTCAGAGAGGGAAAGGTGTTGTCTAAGGTTGCACAGCAGGTGGGGGCAGAGCCTGGGTCATGGGAGCACACTTAGGGTTTGAGAACTGCCAGTGTGATGCCCAAACCCAGTGCCGAGCGCAGAGAAACCCAGCAGGCTTCTCTCCTGAGCCCAGCACTCTCTATTCCTCTTTCTTGCCCAGACTCCTCTCTTCTCTGTCATTGTGTCTGCTGCTTGGCTGACCCCTATCTCAGGCAGACCCGATCCTTGGGACACAGACCAGGGCTCAGGACTGTGACTGGGATGGGCACCCATGCCCACATGGACACAGACATGGGCGAGGACACACACAAGTACTTACAAGTCCCAGGTGAAAACCTGTCTCGCCATGGAGACTGCGCTGGAACAGAGAGGTGCCAGTGCCCCTTCCAGGAAGCCCAGGGCCTCTCTGCTCACTGTCTCTGTCCCACCAGCCCTTTTGTGATAGCTGAGTTTTATGAGCCTAGTTTCCCCCTCTGGAACCCCAAGAGCATAGCGGAGTCTCCCCCTAGTCCCGGAGTACCACTGTCAGTGTTCCTTCCTCAGTCTCCAGGAGGGACTCACAGCTTCCTATGACTGGGTGGGGAAGTCCTGCGGTCCCAGGGGACTGTGGGACAATAGGGAGGCGATAATACATGAGACATTTCGTCTTCCCCGGCAGGCTCCACCCTACTCTGACCTCCTGACCCTGTCCTGGAGGCCCATTAAGACTGGGGTCTCAGTCTGACCCCCATGCCTGCGCCCTCTCAGAACCTGAGACACCCACTCTAGTTCTCTAACTGGAAGCTGTGAGGGTGTCAGCATCACATAAACAGGGTGGTAGAGATTCCTGGGGTCTCAGGGATAAGCGAGCTGTACTGACTTTGGGGGGGCCAGGAGGGCAGTTAACACCAGGCTGGGGTGGGATTACTGAGGAGCTGGGAATCCCTAGCCGAGCCTCCTCACTCTCCCCTTGAAGTCGTGAAGTCAGTGCTGGGGAACCTCTCCAGGGAGCAGTAGAGAGGCTGGAGGGACAATTGGAGAGTCAAGTGTAACTAGCTAGCTCGGCCTTTGGCCTTCAAGGGGAAGGGGAAGCACTGCCTCAGGCAATGAAGTGGGTGGCCCTTCAGAGACTGGGGTGGAAAAGACTCCGGCCTGTGGACAAAAGGGAAGGGCCCTGGGGTCAGGTACTTATCTCTACCTTCGTCATTTCCTGTGCAGGACTTGGCCAGGTCAGTGGGGTCATGGCACAGAGGGAAGGAACAGGCCGGAGCCAATGTACACCAGGCCTTACAGTAGACTCAGGCACGCGGGCCACCTCGTCACGCCCTGGACTGCAATCAGTCCCCCACAGTCACCCTGGGAGATGATCACATCCAGACCATTGTGCCCCGTACAGGCCCAGTCATCCCAGGCAACACTCAGGCGCAGCTGCAGGAAGACCGCACAGGACACACGGGGACACATGGGACAACCAGACACCCTGCCACAGCCACACCACAAGCATTCACACGCCAGGTGCAGCTACTGTCACCCCTGGAGAGCCACAGATTCCAGCAGTCACGGGCAGGCGGCCAGGGCCTGGGTGCAAAGAGGGGGCACGAGGCAGGGAACCCAGCAGTGTCTCCCCCATGCCAGACTGCTCTCCCCCTGGCTCTCTGAGTGCCTGAGGCTGTTTATTTCCTAGCAGGGATGGGTGTCTCTCCCCCTCCCCCTCCCGGTCCCCACCACACGCTTCCGAAGCTGCCAAATCAAATCAGCCAGCCCCTGCGCCCGCGCCAGGCTGGCATGGCGGCCAGCAGCTGACGGGAACGGAGCCAGGCTCAGAATATCCCACCGCCTGTGCCTGTCCGATGCCCGGGTGCGCTTGTTGGGTGGGGGTGGGGAGGAGTGGCCAGCCCCTGGGCAGTGCTTCTCAGAGATGATGGGGTTTCTGGACGCCACCTGGGTGGTAGGCTCCCAGAGAAAAAGTGATGGGTCCGTGATGCACCTGCCAGCATCTGAGGAGCTGTGGATGTGGTGCTGATGGGACTCAAGTTGGGGGGTCCAATCAGTCCAGATGACTAGACAAGCTGGATTGGGGGCTCACACAGGGGATCATGTTTACAGAACCTGGCTGGGAACACAGCCTCGTGATTGTGAGAGCTGGCCATTACAAGCCCGTTTTAAAGGTGGGGAAACTGAGATTTAGGAGAGGATAGTGACATTCCCTAGAGAGAAGCCGAAGTGGAAGACGAGGCCTCAGAAGGAGTAAAAATGTGGTCATTTCCACTTCTTAGGAGCTCTAATCTGAGTGTGGCTCTGAGTTGAGGGGCAGGAACACACCAGAGCCAGAGGTACCCGTGGGAAACAAGGAGCAGAAAGGGAGTGTCAGGAGAGAGCAGGGTGCAATCAGGCCAGGCTTCCTGGAGGAGGCCCCCCCTGGGAGACAGCAGGACGGGGACTGCCGGGGCAGAGGTGAAGGCAGATTGGGAAGAAGGGGAGAAGGCCTGGCAGGCCTCAGCTCCTGGCCTTCTTGTCTCTACAGCTGGCCCGGACCTCTTTGCGAGAGAGCCAGTGCACCCAGGGAGTAGAGACGCCGGACTGGAGGTGAGAGCTCAGTGGAGGGAGGAGTGGGTGGGCTTGGGTGTGGGGGCACAGGCTGGGGGGTCAGTCTGGGCATTGCCCCCCACCCCTGGGAGGACTGGGAGGCTGGAGCCGAATCCCAACCCCACCCCTTTCCACCTTAGGGCCTCCCCACACCAAGACCATTCCCACCGACCCTTGTCTGTTCTTGGTAGCGGGGTTCCCTCTGACTGAGGATTCATCCTCCTCCCAAGTCATCTGGGCATCATTTCCGATGCCTCCCTCATCCTGCCCACCCTCGCCCAACAATTCCGTTTTGGTTTTCTGCCCTTAGTATTTCCTCAGTTCCTTCCCTTCTCTCCATTCCCGCGGCCGGCCTGAGTCTCTGACTGGTCCTCTTTCCCCGGGATGCTCACTGGCTGTTGCTTTCCATGGCCCCATCCTCCACGCAGTGGCCAGAGGCCCTTTCTAACATACACTTGCTAGAACTGGTCAATTTTCTGCTCAAAAATTCTCTGTGCTTCCCATGGCCCTACGCCCTCTGCAGTCCCAGCCAGGAAGGCCACAGACTCCTCTTCATCCATTTCTGCCCCCTAGAAGTGCTCTTGCTGGCCTCTTCCCCCCTCAGCTACCCAAACCCTTCTGGGCTCAGCTCTAGCCTCCCTCCTCTGGGAAGCCCTCCCTGCCCTCACACGCCCTCCTCTGAGCTCTCCTGCCCTGGCGCTCAGATGCCGGGGACTTGCTGCTGGCTGTGCCGAGTGCCCTCTTTTCTCCATTATGTGGTCTGTGTCTGTCTGGCTTGTCTTCACCTCTAAACTGCAGCTCATGAGCCCTAGTTGTGTGCCAGGTGCAGGGTTCAGTGAGGGCACTGCCTTTGATATCTGAGGTGTCATCCCTCGGCCCTGACATGCATTTGGGGTGCCTCATAGGAATCTTCAGCGCTCAGATGGGCCTTGAGCAATATGAAATGCGGTGAAAGTTGTGTGTGTGTGAGAAACGGGATTGAGTGGTGAGACCAGCATGCGCCCACTCGCAAGCCCAGGGCCTGGATCCATCCCTCCTCTGTGCCAGAGCTTTAGCCAAGCTTCCCTATTTAATCCTACAACCTCCTTGTGAAGCAGTGCTGGTATTCTTCTCCCTTTACATTTGGGGAAACCGAGGCCCAGTGGGTTCACACAGTGAATGAATGAGGGGGCAGAGCCAAGAATGACACCCAGATGAGCCTCCTTCTGTCCCTGCCCTCTGGTAAGATGGGGAAGAAGATACCAACATGGCCTGGTGCTCAGCATGGGCTCAACTGCCCCGATGTGGGGCTCGACCCTGGAGAATGTCCCTGCTCCTGGTTGCTGGAGAAAGAGGGAGAGGGGAGGGCCCAGGAATTCATTATTAATTTATTGATTGCCATGGCATTCCCCAGGGGCGGGGCTCCCCCCAGAGCCAGGACAGATGGTGTTCCTGGGAGCCAGCAGCGTCTCAGCAGCCACTGCCACCCGCTCGGGAAGACTGGATCTGTCATCCTCCCGGGAAGTCATGGGGGAGAGGGCTTTGGAGAAACTGAGCCCTCCTGGGTGGTGGAAGCTGGGCCCAGAGGGAAGGAGCTAGGCCCCAGGCTCCCTGTTTGCACTTGTGTGAACACCCCACTTCGCCTGGGAGGGGGCCCTGCCTCTCCTCCTGAGCCCTGCTGAGCCTCACTCCCGCTGTCAGGCTTCCCTGGATGCTCCTCATTTTCCCCCTTTGCTTGTCTTCTCTCTCCCCTCGCCTTTGTCTGGGTAATGCTCCCCACTCAGGCTGAGGATTTTGGGCCACAAGTCACCAGCTTTCAGCGCTATGCTGCTCGGTGACCCCACGCCCGCATCTAGGAGTCTACCTGGCCTCTAGGCAGAGCTCTATTTTAGGGTCCTGTGACACCCCATCCTGAGTACCTGGGCACACACTCAGTCCTGCTGGGGAGATACAGGTTGCCCCCTTGGCAGCAATTCCCCAACATAGGAAGATAGGACTAAAGAAGATCGGAACCCTGGAGTGTTGCTCAGGCTATAGGAAGAGCCGGAGGGAAAGAGGGAAGAGGGAGCCTGGTGCTGAGCCCCCCTTTCAGGGAAGACGAGTTGGCCTCATCTGGTGAACAGACGGTTCAGCTGGGTGGGCATGCGTTCAAGTCCCAGCACCACCGCTTCCTAGGTGTGTGACCTTGGGCCAGTCCCCACCAGCCTGCACATCAGTTTCCTCCCCTGTCAGAGCAGATCTGAAGCTCCTTCACTGTTGGACCCGACTGCTGCTGTTGGACACAGCGCGGCAGAGCCGTGGGGGAGGTTACACAGGCAGCGTGTGTGAGACGTCTGGCTCTGGCCTGGCAGGTGTCGGGGGAGCTGGTGCCCTCCCGCTTCCCTCCAGGGTGAGGTGCTTGAAGCCAGGACTCGGCTGTGCTCCCAAGGGGCAGGTTGCCTGGCCAGGGTAAACGGAGGTCTGTGGGCACCGAACACTGGCAGAGGCAGGACGAGAGCCAAGAGAGCAGGGCTGCCGGGCCCATTCCCAGCTCTGGGCATCTGTCATACACCCTCTTGGGGTGGCGCCCTGGTCCCTGTGCCAGCCTGCTGGCTTGGGGGAGGGGCCCTTCAGGCTCAGCCTGGAATCTTTTTTCAGGGTCAGAGCCATTACTCTCTGGATGTGAAGTCAGTGAGCTGAGCGCACTGGATCCAGGCACTCTTTGTGCTGGTGTAGGCCCAGATGGGGGTAGGGCATGGGGAAATGAGAGGTGGGAACCCAAGGTGGTGCAGGGCTGGGGGAGAAGCAGACATGGCCAAGGGCACAGGTATCCCCAGGTAGACACCCACCTGTGCTGCCCACACTGGCTCCTCTATTGCTGCCCATGGGATAAAGACTATGCTCCTTGGCATGGCCTTGCGAGTCCTACCCACTGGGCCCCTCATTCCACCTCCTGCCCCCGGCCTGGCAATCCTCACTCCCCAGGATACCAGCTCTTCCCAGCCTTCCTGACTTTGCTCTCACTGACTCCTCTCTGGAGTGCCTTCTCTTTTTCCTCTGCCTACCCCTCTCCACACCCCAGATTAGATATCATCTCCCCTGTGAAGTCTCCTCAGGCTGCTCCTTCCACCCCATGTCAAGTCAGTCTCTCTCCTTTTCCTGGGCAGCCGTAGCCCCCAAACTTCTCTTAGCTTACAGTCTGGTAACTTGCTATTCTCTGTGATTCTTCACCCTTCCTCTTGTAGTTGTAAACAGCTGGGGTGCGGAGACCAAGGCTGTGTGTCCTTTGTCTCTCCTGGACCCGCATGAGGTTGGCATAGGACTAGTACATAGTAGGTGCTTGTCAAACACATCCTGATATAATGAGAGTAAGTATGAGGGGGTTGGAATAGTTCCAAGAAGAGGCCAATTGCTGGATTAGAGGCTGTCGTGGAGGCTTCCTGGAGGAGGTTGCCTTGGAACTTTGAAGGATGAGGAGGGTCAAGGCCACTGACTGATGAGGTCAGAGATCAGTAGATAGTCCATAAGATGCCTGTAGTTGATTATGGATAAAACCACTTGAGAACAACTAGCATGGAGCAGGGACCGAGCAGATGGAGGAGCCTGGAACAAGGACCGCAGCCCAGAGTGGGTGGCAGAAGGCTGGCTCTGTGCTGATCACCCAGCGCCAAAAACCTCTCTGTCCCTGGGCCCTGGGCTGAGGAAGACTTGTTCTCAGAGTCTGAGGTCACCAATGGGAAATAAGAGGGTCTAGTGTGGTGGGATAGAGCAGGACGGGGCAGGAGTGAGGGTGGTCCAGGAAGTAGGATTGCCATGAGGGGATTGAGCAAGCCCCGCATCTGAAGGGAGCAGCTTGCACAGGGCATGCTCAGCTCTCCTAGGAGAAGACCCAGCATAAACCAGTCAAGTCAAGGTTACTGAACAAGGAGCGCTGGGGTGAGGCTGGCAGGGCTGCTGCAGGCAACACTGTGTTTAAACTTCTTCGGTGAGTGCTGCTACTTAGCAGATGTGCCAATCTCCTCCCGGTTTCTGCACATCAGGAGCAAGTGGCCTTGATGATGCCCTGGATGCCCCGTAGCCCAGAGGAACTGCTGCCAACAACTTGACCATGGCATCTGGCATCTGTGGGGGCCCTGAGGCCTTGCCATCTGTCTGTGCCCACCTGTCGGGTCACACAAGCCTGGGGTGTGCAGGGACTGGGACCAGGGAGAAGGTCTCAGCTGCCACCCCAGGCTTTCTCTCCCCCTGTCTGTCCATCCATACTGTCTGACAGAAGACAAGGCAGAGACAGGCAGACACAGATTCTGCCAAGAAGAGGCACAGGGGGCTGATACCTAGAGAAGACAGAAGTTGAAAACATGTCTCTGGCTTGTGGGTAGGGCCAGACCAGGGGGTCCAGCCTCCCCGAGTGTTTGGAAAGGAGGCGCAGAGAGAGGCAGGACCGGTGGAGGTGCACAGCAGATCCTGAGGCAACATTGGCTTAGATGATGTTCCTGGGAGGAGGCTCCTTGGCTGGCCCCTCCCCCACGGCCCTGCCTGGCCCTTGGCTGTAAACACAGAGAGAACAAGTTCCGTTTCCCGGGAAATATTTATCTCGGGCGTGTTGGGAGCGTGTGCTGGCCTCCGCGTGTCCTTCCTGCGGGCTGCCAGGGGCAGGAGGTGAGGGGACTTGGCAGCTGTTGGGGGCAATCTGTGGGGTCCCAAGTAGGGCCAGGAAGGGAGCGCCCTGAGGCCCCTGTTTGGAGCCAGAATCTAAGTGCTGGAATAGAGGAAGGGAGAGAGTAGCTAGGAGAAAAATCTGTTTTTCTTTCTACCACACAATATGACGTCTCCCTTGCTCATGCCCCTGTGTTCATCCCTGTCAGCCTGTCTCTTCCTGGTTCCTGTCTCCCAGCTTATGTTCCTATCTGGTGCCCCTCCCAGGGATACCTTGTCTTTCTCTTCCTCTGTATTTCCCAGTTCTCACTTGACTCCTTGGGGCCAGCCTGGTCTGGTCTCAAGCTGTGCAGGCAGTGTAGACACTTCTTCCAGGCTACCCAGGC